ATGATTTTCGTAATTAGCCGAGCTTATCGACCTTGGTCTTGGAGAGGTTGGGTTGTGTTTCAAACACCCCGGGGGCATTCAATGTCAGGGTTGTTGAATTACTGGTTGTCGTTCTGTTGGTCTTCTTCGTCCTCTGGTTGATCTTCTTCTGGAGGCTGTTCTGGTGGTGGTGGGTCTGTTGGCAACAGACAGAGCTTGGCGATTGGTCGATCAAACTCCGAGTGGGTCGTTTTGATGTTCTGGAGGTTTGGTGACCCGTCTGGATGCGTGCCGACTTCTACCTTGGTGATTCTCACTTTGGCTAGCCTTGTAAGCCCATCTGCTCCTGGTTTCGTTGCTATGACTCTGGCAATTAGCCACTGCGTTGGTGGAAAGCTGTCTTCCATCATCAGCGCCATATTGCCAACCTCTATGTTCTGTTGACGTGTCTTCCCCTTGTAGATTGACTGGTACCATTGAAGACACTCTTTGGACCACCTGGACCAGAACTGGTGAATTATCTGCGTCACCAGGTTCCATCGTCGAATTTTGCTGGGGTTCTCGTTGACGTATGAAGACTCTGGCATTACATGGAGAGGCTCACCTATCAAAAAATGTCCTGGTGTGAGCACTTGGAGATCTTCTGGGTCGTCCGACATCGGACAGATTGGCCTGGAGTTTAGACAGGCCTCTATCTGGATCACTATGGTGTTGAGTTCCTCAAACGTTAGTGTTGTCTTTCCCAGGACTCTTTTGAGGTGATATTTTGTTGATTTCACGGCTGCTTCCCATTTGCCACCAAAATGAGAGGCTCTAGGTGGTGAGAAGCTCCATTGTGTCCCATTGGTGGCGAGAGCAACCTGAATTCGTTGATTTTCTCTGGAAGCTTGGTGATAGAGCCTTTCTAGAACTTCTGCTGCGCTGGTGAACGTGGTGGCATTGTCACTGTACATGACAGCTGGAATGCCCCGTCTTCCGGTGAATCTCTTGTAGGCTCCTAGGAAGGCTTCCGTGGTCTGCCTGTTGACGAGTTCTAGGTGAACTGCTGAAGTTGTGAAGCACACAAAAACTGCAATGTGCACCTGTCCTGGCTGTGCATTCGTTGGTCTCCACTTCAGGATCTGGAATGGACCTGCATAATCCACCCCTGTGTGGAGAAATGCTCTGGATGGTGAAACTCTGGTTGCAGGCAGCTGACCCATCTGTTGTTAAGCCTGCTTCCCTCGGTGTCTGGTGCAGATAGCACAGCGCAGAATGTACGCTCTGACTGTACCCCTGCCACCAAGTATCCAGTACCTTTGTCTGGTGTAGGCCAGCGTGAGTTGAGTCCCTCCGTGGAGGGTTCTGCGATGAGCTTCTTCGATCATCAGTGTGGTGAATCTCGACTGCCGTGGCAAGATTATTGGGTGTGTCTCTTCAGGGTGTAGGTCTGAGTTCTTCAGGCGTCCCCCAAGTCTCATGATGTTCAACTCGTCTAGGGTTGGTGTGAGCTTTGCTAATTGGTGACCTCGTGGTAGCTGTTGATTTCTCTGAAGCACACGAAGGGCTGAAACAAAGTACTGATTTTGTGTTATTTTTACCCAGAATAATCTCGCTTCGTTGAGTTCTCTTGTTGACAGGATTGGTCCCGGGGGCGTCGGCAGTCTCCTGAATCTGTCGATTGCCCTGTTGATAGTCGCTGTTACTGCTAGAAGCCGAGCCATCGAGCTGTACCTGGTGAGTAGCTCAGCAAGTTCGTTGACTTTTGGTGCAACTGAACGTGCTCGTGCTGGTTTCGCTTCCTTGGCCACTTTTGGGATGTCCATTGCTGGAGCATCAATTGTTGATTGTGGCCACTCTTCAGGATCCTGATTAATCCACTCAGGTCCTGACCACCAAAGTTGATGATCTGCTAGCTGACTTGGAGATATGCCTCTGGATGCGCAGTCGGCTGGATTTCCTTTCCCACTGACGTGTCTCCAGATGGCATTCGGGAGTTTCCTGGATCTTGACCACTCTGTTGTGGACGAAATCTTTCCACCTTGATGTGTGGCTTCTGATCCAAGCGAGTGTTACTGCTGAATCCGACCAAAGATGAGTTTCTGCATGGTCGAGCTGAAGCATCCTCTGTGTTGAGGCTACTAGTTGTGTTAACAAGAGAGCTGCTGTAAGCTCTAATCTTGGAATAGTCATGCGCTTGATCGGTGCTACCTTTGTCTTCGCGCAGACCATCACTGTTGAAGCTGGCTCGTTGATGTTCCTGGTGCGTATGTACACCACTGCACTCATAGCTACGGTTGAAGCATCTGCGAATCCGTGTAATTGAATGTTACTTTCTTTTGATGTTAAATTGAGCCATCTGGGTACAGCAACTTTGTCCAATTCTGTGAGTTCCTGGCGAAATAACTCCCACCGTTAAGTGTACTCCGTGGGGAGGGGGTCATCTCAATTACATTTGAGTTTCCAGAGATCCTGTAGGAGGATTTTCCCTTTTACGACGACTGGAGCGATGAAGCCCAAAGGATCGAAGATCTGAGCTATCTCTGAAGATACAACCCTTTTGGTGATCGTCTGTGTGTTGAAGTCTCTGGATTTATACCTGAATGTGTCGGACGACTGATGCCAACACATTCCAAGAACTTTGGTGACTGATTCTTCAAACTGGATTACGGCTTCCTCTGTTGATAATCCGAGCTCGTGCAATAGCCGTGGGCAATTGCTGCTCCATTTCTGAAGAGCGAAGCCTCCAGCCTGACAGAGTCCTTGTAGTTGCCAGACTATCTCCTTGAGTTCTGCTGCTGACTCAGCTCCGCCGTAGATGTCGTCAACGTACCGACCTCTGGTGATTGTCTCGACGGCTGCTGGGAAGCGGTGACCCTCATCCTCCGCTAATTGTTGAAGAACTCTCAGAGATAGCCATGGAGAACAGTTGAGACCGTAGGTGACTGTGGTTAGCTGATAGGAGATTTGTGGCTGATTATCATCCATCCACAAAATTCTCTGGAGGTCCCAATCGTCCCTGTGAACTCGTATCTGTCTAAACATCTTGACGATGTCGGTGCCAAACACGAGTCTGTGCTTTCTCATCCATGTCAAGAC